CCCACGAAACTCCATTATTATTATTATTATTATTATTATTTTGGTAATTAAGAGGTTTTATTTACCAAGGGATAAACTATACAATACAAAGCAAAAAACTCAGAAATTAGAGCTTAAAGTTGGACATATTGCCCCAACCTCAGTAGCTACTAAACCACAAACGGCCAGCTATATCATCTAAGGATACAAGTTTGCAGATTCTAATCTCCTAGCTAGTCTGCTCTTCAGATAACCTCTACAAAACACCTCTTGGATGACCAGTCTTAGTATAATATCACTTGTCCTCTGCTTCCCTTGAAATACCCTCAAGTTCCTCTCCTGTCATATGTGATAAACACAGCCAGCAAGCACCATTCTGCATATCTCTGCCCCAGCATTGTACATTATTATTATTATTATTTGCTTTCTTTTCCATCGGCCTGGAGAATGGGGACTCGCATTGATTATGAAAAGGTGGATGAGTCTGCAATGACAGACAATACTAATGCATGAAAAAGATGCAGATTTGCTTTTGCCACTGAGTATGTCGTGAGCAAATGCATTTAAGTCACAATTTTTTTTTACTTCCGAGAAGGATAATTTCCTAAAGAGGTTTGAGGCCACCAACATAGTTATAGTATGTAAATAGCTAGTCGTACTTGCAATAGTTATTCTGATATCCGTGGTCAGCATCATTGATGTTGCATAACATTTCTCATAATGTTCTCTATCAAAAGAACAAATATCTTTTGTTACTTGCTACTGTCGTTGTCTTTAGCAATGTTTGAGAGACCCGCTGTGTTATTTAAACTTAATCATGGGCCTTGATATCTGATCCTAATTTGATAATATTCTTGAATGTAGATATTCTACTATGCTCCAAAGGTGTCAGAAAGTTGGAAAGGGCAGAAGCTTCTGTCTAGGGCTGAGTTCCATGTTGGTTCTCGCATTACAAAGTTCTTACGCTTGCAGTTGCTTCCCACTATATCTGACCGATCTGCTACCACTCCAGGGTCTGATAAAACAAATCGCTTCGCTTCAGTGTTTGGTACACTAGATGGCAGCCTTGGCTGTATAGCCCCTCTGGATGAACTTACTTTTCGTAGGCTTCAGTCCCTGCAGAAAAAGCTTGTCAGTGCTGTTGCCCATGTTGCTGGACTAAATCCAAGATCTTTCCGGCAGTTCCGTTCAAATGGAAAAGCTCATCGGCCTGGTCCAGACAACATAGTTGACTATGAGCTGCTATCCCAGTAAGTAGTCTCTGCCCTCTGGAGCTGTTGAGCACTTCTTTTTGGTTTACTCAGAATTGTTTTCATGTGTTGCTTACTTCCCTGTTTAGACAATTGAGATATATGTACCATATTTTGTTCGGTGGTAAATGAATAAGAAAGTATCTTGCTTTCTGGTTAGATTTAAGAACTCCATGCGTACAGTAGTTTGTTTTTTAAGACAAATGGGGTACTCTAGATCTCACACTTGTTGCTATGCAGACATATGAGTCTTGGCTAGATTAAAAGAACTTCTAGAAAATACTTGATCTAATATAAGTGTGATATCAACTAAGCGTTGATCCTAACTGGTTGGTATAACCAGTGCCGGCTCAAGCCTAAAGCAAGTCAAGCACTTGCTTTAGGCCCCCAATACTTTAAGGCCTCAAAATTAGTACTAATATATCAAAAAATAAATTTTGTATAACTAAATTTTTATCATTTGTAGATGTAGTAATTCAGTCATGTGTATCTAATAATTAAAACTATTCCAGTTTATTTATTTTTCTTCACATAAATCACATGTTTTTAGGCTCTCGTGTTTTAATTGGGAGGCAGTGGGCCTACAAGTGACCAAAAAGTATTTTTTTTCTTTCTTCAATCTTCTTTATAAAATCAAATTCTCTTTTTTTCTCTCCTCATACTAGCTCATCTATCTATTCTGCCAAATAACAAGGGTATTGAATAATTTGAGTAGCATAATCTTTTTTTTTTCTTCCTCACGTTTTTCTCAAACTCTCAGTTCCGATAAAAATATATAAAAAAAATTATTGAATATCTCTTATGCCTCCTATTAAGGTTTTGCTTTAGGCCACCGTATTGATTGAGCCGCCTCTGGGTATAACTTATATAATCCATTTTGCTTTTTATTGTTTTCTGTTCTTAGCTAAGTCTGCACTGACTTAGGGAGATTGCATGTGTATAACTTTCCTCCATACAATTTTAAGTAAGGCATTTATAATGTCCTAAGGGGCTCACCCATTACCTTAAGGTTTTGGGTTGAACACTTAGATTCTTTCACGTGGTATCAGTGCCAAACTTAGGTAAGTCCATTTTCACAATCATTCCTCTCTATCTATTCTATCACTTGGGGCTTCTCTCGTATCTCTCTAAATTCAACCTATTGACCAACTAAATTTGCTCCCAGCCCAGTCCTTAAGCATGTTGAGCCTACGCTCCCTCTTGACTCCAGACTCCCTCTTGATCCTACTGTCTCTTCCTCTCCCTACTTCAAGTCCAATGTTCAGTCTTCTAAAGAAAGGACAAAAAAGAATAAGCAAAAAAAAGAAAAAAAAAGAGGAGAAGTCTAAGTCTGTGCGTAACCCTTATAACTGGGTTACTCGTGCGTGAGGGTGTTAGTTAATACTCTTATCTCTTATTCTTTATATAAGGGTTTCCAAAAGAATTTATAATGTCTCGGGTCACTCCATCCAGCACTTTAAGGTTTTGGATTGGATGCTTATTTTATTTATTTCACATTATCAAAGGCTAAAAGCACAAAAAAGTGCCCAAGGTCTGCTAGGCCTTCAAGCTCAAAGCACAACTAAAACTTGGGCGTAAAGAAAGTCGCAATGAAGGAAAAATAAAAATTATATACGTAATGCTAGAAAAGAAACTATAATCAAAGAAAAATCATTGTATATGAACATAGTAATTGAAAAAAGATATTAAAGAAGTAGATGAAGTGTAAAGCATGTAGATTCAAAAACCAATTTAAAATTTTGGTTTAGATGAAAAAAATGTAGTTTAGGTTTCTTATTCAGTTTAAGCTACTAGTTTTCTTAAAAGAAATCTCTAAATTCCTCTTCCTAAGTAAGTAGCAAATTCATTCATAACCTCTTTTTTAACAATTAATATATTTCTTTTCTGATTATATTTATTGTCTAATGCGCCATCTTCTAGATAGTGAGGAAAAGGTTCAACATAACCATTTATAATTTGTATAGAAGAAAATGACCCTGCAAAGATCTCGTATTAAGTTTTCAGATCTTTTAGTGTAAAAAAAAAACAGATCATATTAGGAGATTTGACATAAAACTAAAAAAATTGTAATGGGCCACAAAATCAATTGACCTCTTAGAATAGCCTATGGGCAATGAGACGCACACCTTACAACATTATACTGGCACTTAAGAATCATAAAACGAGGCAAAGAACACAGCGGCACAGCCTGAGCTTCACCTCGCTTTAGCATCTTAGCGCCCCTCAAATGAGCCTTTAACAACACCGATTTCTATCTTAAGATCAATATTTCAGCAACTTTTCATCTTATGGGAAAGTTTAAGCCTTAGAGGCCCAACATTCACTTCCACATTTTTGGTTTTACTATTGTCTTATTGAACTTGCTTTCTACTTTGTTAGGTTTCTCCCTATCCCTTGGCTGTGCTGAAGCACTTCTCTTCTATCATTCTGTTTTAATGTTTTATATTACCTTTTCATCTATCATAGCATTATCATATAAGACAGCTCAGACATCTGAATTGTCTGCAATAACGCATCCCAATTATGTTTTGATGTTTTTTATACACCGTCTACTTCTATCTGTTTGACAATGGTGATCAGTTAGAGTTGCATCTGAATTTGTATCATTAACGTATATATCTTTGTCCATTTTGCAGCTATGAGATGCTCCCATTGGAGGAACAGCTTGAGATAGCTCAGCAGATTGGAACCACACGGACGCAAATAATGTCAAACTTGAATGACTTGACCTTAGGCACAAGCTTCTTATAGTGTAGCTCTGGCGAGGACGAATAGATCAGAATCAATGTTGCTAATTTGGTGGAAGTGGGGAACTGGAGCGGTTCAGAAGTCATCTTCGGCCAGTCTTAAAGCCTTCAGTAATCATCCTTGTGGAACTAAGATGGCTTTACACCTATGATGCTGTTTCCTCTTTGAATCATGAATCCGAAGAACTGTGCAGGGATCACCATTCTCGTCAAGCAGCTGCAATCTCTTAATGAGATTGCCAGAATTCTTGGTTCTCTGTTGTTATTGATGGATGTATATTAGTTAGGTGTATCATTCCTAGGACCATTTATAATGTACTGCATAAGTTAAAAAATGTGAAACTTGATATGCCAATCTTTGTAATATTGTATTTTTTTTATTTTGGTAACACTTGTAGTTTTGTAGGTTAATTTTTTTGTTTTGAGAATGGTAACATTTGTAATCTTGTAGGTTAATTATAATGTCCAAGTGATTACACCGTCAACAAGGTTAGAAACTAAGTATACAAAGCGGATGCAGATATGGGGTCAATCCATCTTGAACTTGATTAAACGAGAATGTGTGTTTTTACTTCCCAAATCAGAAATGTTGGCGTGGAAATTTCTAGTGGTTAGCAGTTTACATCTTTTTTTTACAGTTTCTGGCATTACATTGAATGTTCAGAATCATTAAAAATGTTATGTTCTATCCCACAATTATTGGTACTCGTCCCCTGCCCTCTTAACTAATTTTTCCTTTTTTTTTTTTGGTACCCTCTCTTAACTTAATGATTGTTAAAGTACGAAATTTGAGTTGCAGTCCCGCACACGTGTATGACGAATAATTCCATCCACAGTATCCAGGGTGGTGGTAATGGAAAGAAGATAAACAAAAACTTTGAGACCATGGCTTCTCAAAAGAGAGGAGTGGGGTTAGTAGACGTTTTACTAAATACTTCTTTATTGATGACTCCAAGCAAGGTTGGACCCATTTTTGTGCTAAAAGGGTCTAAGTAAATGGTTCTGGCCGAAAATATGTATAGTTTAAATAAATTACTTTTTCAGAAAATGTTGTACGTAATTGTTTATGAACCTAATAGGTAAAAGGATAAACTTGAAGCCTTAATACACTTGGCAGAGACTTAGAAGTTCAAAGCAGAGGTCTTGGGTTCAAGTATTTATAAATATGGTTCAAATTAGCTTCGTTTAGTTGCTTGTATATGTACAATATTAATCTTTTCCTGTTGTTTCGCAGGGCCGGCCAGACCCAAAAATTTAAGGGCCCCAAAATTACTATTTCTCTATATTTATAGTATATAATTTATATAGTTATTTTTTTATCATTGATAAATTCATTTCTTTGTTTTCATATTTATATTGTTTAATAACTTAATTTCTTCCTATAATTAATATATCCAAAATAGTATTCACTCAACCTTATTTTACGTTTTTACTGAATTATTTTTCTCTGTTCATTAGTTAGTCGCGTAATTATATCTAATAATCTAACATATCATTTATTTTTCTCGCATAAATTATACTCCCCCCGGCCCAATTTACATGAAGGTGTTTGACTAGATATGGAGTTCACGAAATAAAGAAAGTCCTTTGAAACTTGTGATCTAAAACAAACCATAGTAACTTGTGCGGCTAGAAATCATCTCATTAAGGGTTAAAAAAATAAAGTTGAATTATTACTGAATTTAGTAGGCGTTTGGACATAAGAATTGTGAAATTCCTGAAAAAAGTAAGAAAAAATTTCACATTGAAAATTATTTGAAAATTAGAATTGTGTTTGGACATGAATACAATTTGGAGTTATTTTTAAATTTTTGTGAGTGCTTTGAAGTGAAAATTTTGAATTACTTTTCTGGAGTTTTTTGTACTTTATAAAAAATCAAATTCTCATTTTTTTCCATTTCACATACTCACTTTTCTAATTTTTCAAATAATGATGCTTTATATATATATATATATATATATATATATATATATATATATATATATATATATATATATATATATATATATATATATATATATANGATGCTTTATATATATATATATATATATATACGTATGTATGTATGTATATATGTATGTATGTATGTATAAGACCTCTTATTAAGGCTTTGCTTTAGGCCTCAGATGCTATTAAGCCGCCCCTGTTGTTTCGTTAGTTATATGCATAATTGTTTACATTTTTTTTATTTTTAAAATTTGTTAAAAAACTTAGCTCAAAGTAATAATATAAAATAAGCAAATAGACAAGAATGTAGAGAGAAAAAAAGGAGATATTCTTATTTCTTCAATTGTTTTCCAAGTGTGTACAATGTGATACCCAAACCCTCTATTTATCGGATGATATTGAGGTAATACAGAGGAATGTCATGAGCATGATATTAACTATTGATCATGGGAAGATCATGGAGGTGTGGGAATTACAACAATAATTGTAGGAAGTATTGGGAGGTTAATGGAGAATAGTAGTGGGAGTAACTTCTTTAGGAGTTATAGACATCCACTACATTATATGATATTTCATAACACTCCCCCTTGGATGTCTATAGATAATGTATCTCGTTAAAACCTTACTTAAAAAACCCTATGGGAAAAAATCTTAGTGAAGGAAAAAGAGTACACATATCTTGTAATACGCATTATTTGCCGCCTCATTAAAAACCTTGTCAGGAAAACCCAGTGGGATAAACCTTAGCTAAGGAAAAAGAGTATAGCGCGTATGTGCCTCCCCCTGATAAAAACATCAATTTATTTCTCGGAGACGATGAATTCCAAGCTTGTATAACAACTTTTCTAATGTTGAGATCGACAATGCCTTAGTGTATTATTTCGCCAAATTATTACTTGAACGATTTCTTTAACATCCATTTCATCATTTTGTTGAAGATCGTCGCTGCAAAACTTTGGCCAAATGTGCTTTATTCTGTCTCCTTCAATATATCTTTCTTTTAATTGAGCTATGCATGCAACATCGTCTTCAATATTATTGGTTCTTGTTGAATATCATAATATAGCAGTACCCTCACGTGCAAATAGATTGTTTGAAGAACGGACTTTAAAAAAAACCTGCATTTGCAAAACCAACAAAATCTTGAAGTATTTGTTAGAATAAACAAATCGATATCAAGGATTCCTTTTGCAATAACACTAATGGTATTTCAATATCTCCACATAAGAGTAAAAGTATATCTTGCAAGCATACTGTTATACTCATAGTTTTAGCAAGATACATTAGTGTACCAATTGCACTAGACACAAATATAAATCATGTACACCATGATTGCTCTAATCTACATAAGGATTTGCGAAAGATTTTTATTTGATAAATTTCTTGGGAACCTTAATATGCTTCAGAACAGTTTAAATCCTTCAATAATTTTTATATACGCATATCAAATTTTCAGGTATTGTCAGACTAAAATCGGAAAGCAACTGCATCCACCACAAGAGAACATGTTTCATATAACCAATGCCATGACATCTATGAAAAATCTTGTGTCACCCCAGTGCTTTATACTTTCAGGTGGTTGGACTATCACTCCTAAACTTCATGTTTTCCAAGTGAAGTCAATCTTGATTGCGTATTTTTCATTGACCAATCATTTATCTGTCCATATTTTATGACATATTTGAGTTCAAGATCCTTGTCAATATTAATAAATATTGAGCGCTACAACATCGCCGACGATCATTTTGCATCGGTTCCATCATCACTCAATAAAGACATAACTTATCGAGATCTCATATTTTCAGGTACCCGAGCTTCTCCCACGAGGTCTTATAAAGTGTTATGTCATGTTGCTCTTATAAAGCACTTGCCTCCTTATTATGATCATCTTGAACATTTGCTCCTCTCCTTCTTCAAGGAGTTTTATCTTTGGAACCAATTAGTCTATTACTTGTCATGCGTGCCATAAACTCTATCCATCATGAACTTTATTCTATTTGGAGCATTAGCAGCTGAAATATGACATTTAGCTTTGGGTCAGCAAATGCGCCTGCAATATTTCGCAAATGAATTATCACTTGAACTTCAAGTTCACATTTTCTTGTACGAGGATCTAGATGTATTCATAATAATTCATTCCACGTATCACGTTTTCAGCTGCCCATTTTCTCCCCCTAATGTTTGGATCACCAACACATTTTCCAGCCTTCTTTGGGATCCCATCTTTGTGCATTGTGGTAGCACAGTTAAATCATATAGCACATCCATATTTCTAGATGAAAATTATTTGGTTTCTGATCCTCAACCAATTGTAATATGGAGAATTTATCATAGCTTGTTGGCTAGATGCGTACAAATGCTGTTGTATATTAAATAGTACACCTCATACTAAATTTCTATTTGGGATTTCTGTTTTCATAGCCAATAGTTTAGCTATAATTGGAGGCATACAATTTCTGCTAAACCAACTTGGATTTAAACCAACATTATCAATATAAATCATCATAATTTATATTCTGGAACTGTGCTCTAATAATTTGAGCAACTAACCTTGCAAAATCCAGCTGCAAGTTGATAACAAACGGACATGTGACCATACAATAGATGCATCTATTAAAATCATATAATAGAAAATAGTCCACATGGCAGGTGACTGGGGCCATAAATATATCACCTTTTATTCGTTCCAGAGATCAATGGATTCAATCCCAACCTTAGTTGGTATATCATGAGAATAAGCAACACAAGAGAATTCTTGAAGAATCTCCTATTTTTTCAATATATGCCAATGTGAAATTAATTTTCACATCATAATTGAACCGGGATGGCCAACCGTTCATGCCAACTAGTATTTGTTTTAGTAAACCTCTAGTTTACTTGTGGCATGTGATTGCATTATCGTGCTTATACTTGTGTAGTACAAATAGAAGAAAAGTCGGGTAACCTTTTATATTTATCCGATATGATTATAGTAATATGAAGATATTCAATCTTCCTTTCATTTATAGTCTCAACATGCCAACAACTTTGGCTTATACATTTGAAACTCAAAAAGTTTCTTTTGAGACTTACTACAATATCAATGTCTTGAACAATTTCATTCATCCGGGTAGTAATAAATTAGTTCTTCCGAAGCTCTTAATTGATTTTGTACTACAAGATCTTTTGTCACACCATTCATATGGTAAATTATCTACTTCACGGAGAAAATCATATCATTATGAATTGTCATGGTCATAGTCATCATAAGCAAAATCATTTCCTGCTTTAGATTTTCCTTTTAAACTTTTTATAAGGCATGGCAAAATATTTTTGGCGTACCAGATGTACGCGACCAATGACATATTCATGTAACCACAGTAATGTTCATTATATTTCCTTCTCTCAAACCTCCCTTAGAGGTGAGTTGTGGTATTTATCCAACCATACATAAGCACAATATTATGCATAATCTTTATCGCATATATATATATATATATATATATATATATATATATATATATATATATATATTCACATTCACTTTCAGGAATGAGTCTGCTTTACAATGTAACGACCCAACCGGTCGTTTCATGAGTTATAGCCCCGTTTCCCCCATTTCTGCTTCTTTATGTGTTCTTCAGCTGTATTTCATTGTATCATGTTGGTTGGTTCGAGTTCGGAGTGATTTTGGAGTGAATTGAGACACT